CGACAGCTCCACAATTTCTTCAGTGGTCCGTCGTCGATCTTCCTTGATGATTTCACGAATTTTTTCAACATTTTCATGTGTTCGGACCGTGGAAGGACGACCAGAACGAGGTTTGTCATCAATTGACATTTCACCATTCTTGAAACGGGAAAACCACTCAAACACTTGAGTTTTCTCCATAGCATCGTCCTTGTATGCCGTTTTTAACATTTCAAGAGTTTCTGTTCCACTTTTCCTGATCAGAAAGAATTTCACTGCTGCACGCTGTTCACGAAAATCAGCCATTGCAAAAACGACAATCACACAAAACAGTTGTCACTATAAACTCTGCCGAAACTAGTCCTTACCTTCTGAAGCAACGGTAGTCGGCTTATCGACTCAGGAATGTTAGCTCTGTGCACTCATAGCGGCAAAACGCGGTACTACAAAAGCTCTGCCCACAAAAAAATTAGTTCGGTTTCTTTTGGGTACCCCATCGTATATCTATCACTGTTATTGTTGTTATTTATGTTATTTTTGCTATTATTTAATAACAGATCCTGTTGTTACTAAATTTGTCAGATACTCGTATAACCTTGTAATTTTGCAATGTCTCCATGTTGGTAATTGTTGAGTTACAAGTGATATTTTGTACACATTTTGTAGTCATGTTTATAGCCTATGCCCATATCAAATTTTATATGCCTGACTCCAGAAATTCGTTACTTATATTCATAAATCTGGAAGCTAAAGAGAATGTTTGCATGACCTCCATGTTGCTATTTTACATTCTTTTAAAATATTTTTATGTTGGTTGTTTGGTAGCATTGTCAGTATTGAGAGTATATAGTGCTGATATAAAACTATTATTTCCAAAGTAACAGGTATTTTTCGAAGTTATATTACCATGTGTCATTTCAATACAACGGGCCTGTGGTTTATGATTGTTTGATAAACCTTTGTCGATAAAGTTCCGAGAGTGAGTCTGTAAAAAATACAAAATTCAACTTATTAACTAATGGTTCCTGTCCCTTCAAAGTAGTCTACTCTGCAGTCAGTATACTGTTGTCAGTATTTCAGCAAGTCATGGAAGCAGCTGGTGAATGCCTCATTTGGAATGGCTGTGAGCTCTGTTGTCACAGTTGCTTGAATAGCCTCTATATTCTCATGTTGCCGTCCTTTTAGCATTTTTTTCTGAAGTTGAAACAAAAAATCGCATGGAGAGGTCAGGGGAGTACAGGGAATTTTGAAGCACAGTAACGTGTTTAGCAAGAAATCTGTTGACATTTAGAGCTGTGTGTGGTCTCACATTGTCATGCAACAAAGTCCACTTCCTGATGCCCATAGGCCAGAACAGTGATGTGAAAGTGCCTTGCATATATGCCTGAGTACGAAGATGTAAAATTCTTGGTTGACAGTTTGCCCTTGTGAAACAAATTTGTGATGAACAATACCCCTGGCATAAAAAAAAACGATTATCATAGTCTTTGTTTTCGATGGTTGTCACCTCACTTTCTTTGATGCTGGAGAACCAGTTGACCACCATTTGATGCTTTGTCTCTGCGCTTGAGGGTTGTACTGGAAACACCATGATTCATGCTCAGTAATGTTACTGTTGACAAATGTGGAATCATTCTGTTCCTCGTGCAACAAATCAGCACAAACTGAATCTTGCACCTACTTTTGATCCTGAGCAGGTGTGTGCGACTAGCCTGGCTTTGAGTTTTCGTTTACCCAAATCCTCTCGCAGAATTTTGTGCCAGGTTGACTTATTGATATTCAGGGCATCAGCTAACATGCGCACTGTAACAGTATGGTCTTCCTGTATGATGTGTCTGATGTGAACCACATTGTCTTCATTCTGGGAACTCAAAGGTTGGCCTGAACTTGTGTCATCCTCCACCCACACCCTGCCTGACACGAATCGCCTGTGTTCCTCAAACACTCACGCCCAAGATAAAGCTTCATCGCTGTAGGCATCATGCAGAAGATTCAATGTCTGTGGTTGTCTTTCCCAGCTTCACACAAAATTTGATGTTAGTTCACTGTTCAAGTTGAACGTTCATTCTTCTCACAGCAAAAATGCGCAACTGACAATTGACATGGGATTTTTATGGAATGCCCTGCTGCCTAGCAGAGGTTGAGCGAACTAAAGTAAATAACACAGGTGAGCCATAAAATGTCCTGTATTTAGAACATATCTTCCCAGAAATGCCACCATTTACCTAGGCTGAGATATTAAATCAGTCTCGGAACTTTATGGACAAAGGTTGTACACTAATTTGAATGTCACTGGTTTGAAATTTACTAGTAATTTCTTTGTTTTCCCCCCAAATTCTGGAAAATTCTGTACCACACTCCTGCTACCAGGGAATGTCACTGCGAAGCACTACTGGGCTACTGGAATCAGCCTGTCATAACCAATTCACATTTACATACTTATGTGTTAGATACAATCAGAATTAGTGCATTGTTGTTTCATTGGCATATCCATTGCTCTGTCCCAGAAGTAAATCCATAGCAGCATACTCTGTAAAATTGTGAGGCTCCCAACCTGCCATGCTCACTTTGCTATGCCTGGTGGAGTCCTGCCGTTTCAACACCAGAACAGAGAGCCCATGAACTCTACTGCTTGAAATGGAACATGTCATGCAATACAAATGTCAACAAACATTTCATAGCGCACACCCCATCTAATGACACAGTGCTCTAAGAGGTTGATGCAAATGTGAGTATCACTCATGGTTGCAGTGAGCCTTCTTGGATACTGTTTATCTGGTATCTCATCAAATGAGCCACGCTTCATAACTAAACATTCTGCAGCAAGGAGGTTCCTGACAAGACTGCAAAGGACTCCTGGATTACAGACATTAACAATACACCCTAAGTAGGAAGGTACTCATTTTTGGAATGCTCTGTATTTTTGATATTGGCTAGGAAAGCAAATATCTCAGATAGGCATGTACATCTGTTTGTTCTCTGTGAGGTATCTTGTTATGATATGTGCCAGGTACATTCATCAAGTTCCAGAGGATCAGTTTTATCAGACTCAGCCATTTTGCTATTTGAATATTAGTATTTGATTCAATTTTATTTTTTTTGCAGAATCAGTTTATGGGATAATGAGAAGGAGCGGCTTATACTGTTGACAACACAAGTACTGATCACTGTAAAGTATGATTTTATTGCACTAAAACAGCTGGAATTCCGAAAAGTATCACTTGATTTGGTGGACACTGTAATTATTGGGGATCTCATATATCCTTCAGGCTCCCTCGTACCGTAAGTATATGTATGTAATTTTCTGGTAATTTGTAAGTGGGAGACTGAGTCAGAAATACATTTTTATTGTATGGGCCATAATATTTGATTATTTCTAGAGCCAGCTACTATGCGGGTAACTGTCCAGATCCCTGCAGTGCTAGGCTATGCTGTCTCACCCCACATATGTTTTGCATTGGGTTCATATGCCATTTAGCATTACTCTGTCTTCATTGATGGGTTTCTCTTTATTTTGTCTCTCATGAATAAAAGAGTGTTTGCACATTGTAACATAGTTGTTAGAGGCACTATGTTACAAGCCGGATGGTTGCAGGTTCAGTTCCTGACGAGATCGTTTAATTTTTCAATTGGCCTAGTCCTTACAGCTGCACTGTGGCCATGGGTTTGACTCAGCCTCTAAGAGAAATGAGTACCAGCAGGAATATTCCGAAGGGGGGGGGGCGGTAAAAGGCAGCTGGTGCGTAAGCCTGACAACCTCATGCCATCTGTGAGCCGATTTTCTAGAAAAATGAGGGAGTCTCGACGTCTCTCAACCCTATGGGCTTCCATGGCCTGTTACAAGGATAGCTTTACCTTTTTATTTTACCTTAAAATATGTACACTGCAGTTGCTCTAGATTACAACACTGAAAGGGTTAAATGTCGGTAACCAAGTTTTGACATGAGGAGTAATGTGTGGGTTTTATTTTATTGCGTTATTTAATAATGAGTATGCACGGAGGTGACTTCAGATGCACTGATGAAGGTCTTGTGGTGACATAAAACAAATTTTAAAATATTATTTATATTTATAAATTATTTAATATTGAATAATGAAATTGAAAGTTTGGTGTGTAAATGCTTTTCAGGAGATAGATTTTAGGAAATTCAAGGGGTTTGTTGTCACTCTTTGCTACTCAGCTTTCTTGAGAAAATTGACAGAGAGAGAGAGAGAGAGCATAATTGCATGTACATACTGTAACATGTCTGCTGTGTGATGCAACACAAATAAATTGCGTGGGTCTTCAGATCTCAACGAATTCTTTTATTGGACGCGTATTTGTACACACACTCGTACAATTATTCACGTAGAACGCTATTACACCGTTAGCACACTCTGGAACTCTTCTGTGAAGTCTGAGCACAACCTGCTTCTATCTCGCTAGAGTCGAATCCAAAATGGTGAGTACAAAACTTGGAATCTCTTGTGATACTTCTGATACTCATGACCTTATGATCCTGTAATACTCATGATACTGACACTTGTGAGAGCTACACACTCTTATATAGCCAACATTCGGACGGAATAGAGAATACCTTATCGAAGGGCTAATTTCATCCGTTGTTGCACAGCGAACAATCTGTTGCTTAGGAAATACAGAACACCTTGTAGAAGTGTTTGGTTTCATCTGTTGTTACGCATCGAACCCTCTGTTGCACTTTCATATCCGGGGAAACAGATTTGTTGTTTTGGCAATTCCTATGCAACGTCCCACTGTTATTGTGTTTCCATGGAAGTATCCTTTCCGGATTCGCGACATCCAACAATACATACATGTGGTGTTTAATGATATGGTCAGTATCTGCATTATATAGTGTTGAATTCAGGGATGAGAGATGAATGATGAATTGAAGAGAATCTGGTAGAAATGGTTTATGGCATTTGCCTGGGGGAGTGAGGAGAACCGTGAATAAGCTCATCAAGGATAGCCGGTGTCTTGGTCAAGATTGAAACCTGAATTTTTTTTAGAAATGTCGCCACTGTGCCACCATGCTTGGCAGAAACAGTTCTCATGATGGTTGGTGATTTAGTCTGTCAGTGTAATGTCTTATTTTGTGTTACATGTAATAATTGAGTTTTTTAACACTACTGTTATCAAAATGTTATTTTATAAGAATGTATTATTTCATGTGTAGTAATGTGATATTTACTTGACTCTGAGACCATCTTTTGAACTTCTGCTTTCACTTAACAAATCAGCGTATTTTGGCAAACAAATCTGCAGCCAAACCACATGGAATTTATTTGGAGATACATTAAAAGTTGCAATATCTGGCACCTTCAGAACCAAAGGGCTGCCAGATATCAGAAAACTGTACCTAATGTAGTTACTATAGGATTCTGATGATGGTGTATAACACACAGATATATTGGGTTTTCGGACTTCATCCACCGTCCTCGTTTTAAGATAATTAAGAAAAACACGATGTTTCGGAAACTCGATCTGTTTCCGTCCTCAGGTGAGGGAAAACACCTATTCTGTTGGGTCCCTTAGATAGAGCTAGCCTCAATCACTGGATGATCACGATGTGATCGTGTTTTTCTTAGTTATCTTAAAACCAGGATGATGGATAAAGTCTGAAAACCCAATATCTCTGTGTATACCTAATGCGTATCTTAGTGTATATAGCAACCTCATGGACAGACTTGATAAATTTGTCAGTTAATAACCTGTCCTTTTTTTCCTGCCACACCTTTTGTTCCTTTTTCATCATTACTTATGCAACATGATGTATATGTAATCTAAGAAAACTAAAAAGACATCAATATCTCACTCTTTTAATTATTATATTCACAATTAGTCAGTCACCAGTTAAAGGGGCTCTCTGGATCATCCAATGTAGGATTCTGCAGCTTTTACTCTATATGTTTAGAGCCATTATATTATGTATAGTGGGTATCCACGTGAGGTACAGTTCATAATTATGCAGAGTCTGTCCAGTGTCTGATGTATTCTTCTCCTCAATGAAATGTGAAGTGTTGCAGTACTGCAGTTGACACACATTCCTCACTTTGTGAATTTGCACTGATCCTTTTTGCTGATGGGTTATAACTGATTGAAGCTACTGTTTGCAGTGTTAGTGCTAGTTAAACAAAAGTGATTCAGTTTTGGGATACTGTGTAAAAGTACAAGAAGCTTGTACAGGTGAAGACTGCTTCAGTCTCGTGAACTGCTTATGATTCCAGTTTTAGACTGATTGTTGTCAAGTGTGCTGAAGAGACTAATACTCTACGTGGTGTCAAGGAATTACAACATTTTTTAGGTCAGTGGGAGGCACTCGAAAAAGAAATATCATTTATTACGTTTGAAAGAATATGCTTCTGGTACATAACGCTCTGTAGTTTGGTATATATTGCCAATGTGTTAGAGGAGTCTGATGTAACTGTTTTCAGGATCATGATCATGGAGGTAGTAAGTTTCTCCAAAATTTTGGTACCTTTCTAGTAAACTAATTTAATTCACATAGTGGGGGGGTCGAGTCCAGTTGGGTCCACTTGGCACGGCAGCCACTGATTGGCCTATTGTATCTTCTGTGGGTGAGTATGATGATGGAGAATTTTGTGGAATGAAGATAGGCAGGGGAAACCGAAGTACTCATAGAAAACCTACCCAAGTGCCACTTTGTCCACCACAAATCCCACTTGACCAGACCTGGGATTGAACCCAGGCCACCACGGTGGGAAGCCAGCGACTAACCGCTTGAGCTATGGTGTGGCCTTTCTACTAAACTATGTGATGTTATGTGCCAGAAGATTGTAAACTTAACACTCAGTGCAGTGAGAATCTAAAATTCCATCCTGGGTTAAAGTTTTTTTTTGGGGGGGGGCACTGTGAAGAGACTGAAGAAATGTTCATGCAAAGAAAATATGTTCTTCTTTTCCTTTTCTTTGTTCAACACTTCAAAGTGGGTAATCTGAGAAGGAAGCCTCTCTACCTGTCTTTATTCCCAAACCTCTTCCTCAGTTCCCTTCCATGTTATTCCTTGCCTCTGTCACATCTTATATAACCTGTTGTTCCCATTTGATCTAGGTCTTCCCATTGTGCATTGTCATTTTAATTTAAAATTGGTGGAATTCTNAAATTGGTGGAATTCTGTTTTTGTGCATTCCTAAAACATGCCCATACCATCAGTCACTAATTCATTAGTGTATTTTCATTAAAGTCTAATTCCCCCCCCCAGAAAAAAAATTATTTCTCCTTTGGGGGCTTCCTTCCTTATTTTTTAAAAATCTTAACGCATTTGCTGTTAGTCTTCTGGTGTTGGTGCATGTCAATTTTTTCTGTTCCATTCATTATAAAAAAGTGAAGGTATCCCTGTAACAGGCTCTGGAGGCCCATAGGGTTATGAGATGTCAAGGCTCCTACATTTTCTAGACAATCGGCTCACAGATGGTGGTGAGGTTGTCAGCGTTATGTGCCAGCCACTCTTTACGCCCCAGGAAGATAGAGGCTAAGTCGACCATAGTGCGGCTGGAAGGATTAGCTCAAATGAACAATCCAGTGACTTCATCAGGAATCAAACTTGCTACCTTCTGGCTTGTAGCACAGTGCCTCATCCAACTACACTTCCACATGCCCATCTGTTCCATACACTAACTTTTGAATATGCATGTGTTTCTTGTCTTTGGCCTTAGCAGCACAGTTGTGCACAGAATTTATTATAATTAGTAATAAGATTGTTATTCCTTAAAATGTTAGCACTTTGGGATTTCATTATATTCAGGGTCGTAGTATAGTTATGTGAATGCAGCGAGTTTTCTGAACTGTGCAGCCTTGAAGTGAATTTAAGCATTGTGGGATAGCCTGATGTAAGCTCTACTGTAGTGTACAAAGAAGCTTTACTGCTGTGTGCCTATCTGTGTGATTGAATCATGTTTGGATGTTTTGATGCCGGTTTATGTATCACTTGATATGTTTGTGGCTAGATAAATCTGTTCATAGTCATGAAAACTGGTTTGTTTCTTATCTGTAGTGGTTGATTTAGTAACAGAATTACACCAATGCCAAGTTATTTTAAAGTAACTGTATTTTACAAGTATATCTTACTTGGAAACACCTGGTTATGTTTCATCATTCCTGTAGATAAGTTAATCATTAAACACTCCCATAATAGTTTTATTTATGACTGTTCTGAGTGAATGTTTTCAACGTGTGTATTTGAAAATTATTTATTAAAACTTCAGCACACAATAAAATATATTAACACATCTGTTTTAATGTTTAAAGCTATTCTTTTGGA